CTCTGTATACTCACTTGAAATGAGTATTGGATTACATTGACCGGTTCATTATTGCAGCTGTGTGCATTGTTAATCTAATCACCTCACATTCAATGTTAATGGTCTCCATCTGATCAGTTTGCAGTCACTGCTGCTCAGATTTTTACAAATCATCATTCCAGTTCCATTCAGTCAACCTCATTTTCATCAGAATCAAAACATTGACAGTGGTGTTTTTGCTTTAGATGAAATTGGTAGATTCATGTGTTGCATAGTGGCAGATTCATGTGTTACATAATGGCAGATTCATGTGTTACATAGTGGCAGATTCATGTGTTGCATAATGGCAGATTTATGTATGCATAATGGCAGATTCATGTGTTGCATAATGGCAGATTCATGTGTTGCATAGTGGCAGATTCATGTGTTGCATAATGGCAGATTTATGTATGCATAATGGCAGATTCATGTGTTGCATAGTGGCAGATTCATGTGTTGCATAATGGCACATTCATGTGTTGCATAATGGCACATTCATATGTTGCATCGTGGCAGATTCATGTGTTACATAGTGGCAGATTCATGTGTTACATAGTGACACATTCATGTGTTGCATAGTGGCAGATTCATGTGCTGCATAGCAACAGTAAAATTAAAAATCCAGAAAATCCTTAAAGCATACATGCACAAATTTTATTATGCATGTTCGTATGAATAACAAATGATATGTTGCTCAACAAGCCTTTCTTGACTGTCAAGGGAATCTAGGAAATTTTTTTTTTGGAAGTTACGACTAACTATGATTGATGGCGTGACTCTCATTCTATCGTGTAGTTGCATGCTTCCTTATTTTCATTGTTTGTAAACATCAATGAATTATTCATGTATAAACATGACTGTCAAGTGGTAGTTATGTAAAAGATTTGTTTCAATGATTACAATGGTGACAAAAGTAATACTGTAAAATACTTTCACTTGGAATTTGCTATTTACTTTCACTGAAGTGATGATTTAGTGAACAATAAAATCCAGCTAATATACATTCAACTCATCAAAAATCAGTAAAAATTAACTCAAATTACCCAAAAGGTTTTTCAGCGAAAATTTATTCTAGCTAAAATAACATTTTAAAGTCATGCTTAAGAAATACAATTTCAAAAATTGTTTTTTTTTTATTCCATCACTGATATAGCCTATTTTAAACGTAGTCATACTGTTAAGTTGAATGTGTTTAAAGTCACATGTCTTTATGTTTGATTTATTCAGAAATTGATCGAAAAACACCAATGCATAGTCAGCCTGTTAGACACACAGACAATCCCACAGTGCCTTCCAGTGCTTCACATGGCAGAGATGCTAGCCAATCAGACAGTAGAATAATGTTGTCAGATGTACCTATGGTAAGATCATGTTGCATTCCCAATATAATGTTGTCCCAATATAATGTCCTTCAGTGAACTACGTCAAAGTGTATGAAAACATATTCCTGTATCGTAGAAGGGTATGATCACACAAACGCACACACATAAATGCCACTGTCTTCCTCTAATGTAAATTTTTTTTTACTTTTTGCTCAAATTGATTTCGACCTTAGTTTCGGGAATTAATCAGGCTATAGTTTTATCGTAACTGATGCTATTTCATCATTTTATTTGCAGTCACCACCAACCAGACAACGAGGAGAACCTCGTCAATTGCGCAGTACAGAATCTACCATAGATGATGTTCAAAACATATCACTTGGTGAAGACAAAGATTTTTTTGAGAAATTCCTCACCCTCGTTGACAAGTATTGGAATGGATCCAAATCATTACACAAGAATGCCAAATTTCTAAGTAAGTAGCGATCTGTTTATACTTGGTAAAAGTGTGTATTACCCTTCAGCTACTTTAGAATGGCATTTTATATAAATTTAGTCAAGCTCATTTACAGACAGTTGCCTGCACTTGGAGTTGTAATGTTTTTTGGTAGGTGGGATATTAATTTGGATTCTGTGCATGTCTTTTCTGTCTGTAAAATTTTGGATTGATTTGGGTCAAGTTGTTTTGTTATCCTTTCCAATATGGCTGACAGAAAGCCATTTTTTACCCATAAAATCTCATTACTTTGAAACGGTCAAATATTTTATTCCATTCAAAAGTGGGACAAAAATTACATATGTGCTTTCTCATTTTTGCATTCCAATTTGATATGTCCATGTGCTCTTCGCCATACCAACTTTGATTGACTTATCAAAAATAGAAAGGTTAGATACAATGATTTACATGTATTGTTTATTCACTGCTGTGAAGATAAGAAAACACACATTTCCTAATATGGGCATATCTATACAGATCTCGCCAAGACCATGTTATCCAATCACATGTCCGATATGAACACCAGCGGCATTACAAATATTGATAAACTGAAGGAAGATTTAGCACATTTTGCACAAGAAAATGTAGCACTACGTGGTAAACTATCTCGGGTGAACTCCAGTGACCAAGGTCAAGGTAACAGAGAAATGAAATCGGCGTTGGATCAAGCATATAGAGATTTGGTGAGTATTTATTCTATTATAAACATATACAATGTTTGCTCAGCCTCTATTTGTAATGCTCTATTAGTTTTGTCTTTGGTTAAAATAAAGATCTTGCATACAATCAATGTAATTTGGTTTATGTGTAATTTTACTAAGGTGACAAATATGGTAATGGGTCAGCTGTGCTTCCTGTAACCTTTGCAGTTAACATATTTCAGCCAACTAGAGCCAAATTTTCTTTTTTTACGCATTTGTGCAGTTTCTGTCCTTTTCACTGAATTCAATCGTAAATTTGGACCGGACAGACGAAATGTGAAATGACTTCTAGCTTTTGATCAACAAAGGTTTTTTCAGAGTGTTAATATCATACATTTAGCAGTAAAAAAAGTAATATTGAATTTAAATTTCTTAGAAAAGAAAGAGCCTTGTTCAGTGTCAAATTTGCTTTGAAACACTTGTGGTCATTGAGCATAACTGTTAAAGTCAAATTGAAATAGTTCAGATAAATACTGTGATATAGGGCGCCCTCTTGTGTCAAACATTGACAATTATGATGTTTAATTAACGAAATGTTTCTACTTGAATTTCAATTTCCTATCATAGTATCTTGAGCTTAATCTTTTTGATTTTGCCACCTTCCGCAAAAACAAAAACAATTACCATATTTTCTCTATTAGTACCACATGTCTTAATTACAGAGGTGTCTCTGCAATAAAAATAAGTAATATATTAACCATTCTGTACACAGCAACTGCAATTTTTGTTTATATGCACTTCTATAAAAGATGTGCTTTTAATAGAGGCAATGCAAAAACCTGTTTTTCATGATTTGTCAACAGTTTTGATCAAAATCAGTAGCCAATGGAAAATTGTGTCCATTTAGTTCAAAATTGACAAAAGAATTTGCAAAATGTTGTACTGCAAAATTTTTTCAGGAAAAGTTAAAGCATTCAAAAGATTAACCCTAGTCTTGTCTTGTCTGGTCGATGTAAAAATGCACAAGGCTCACAGGATAAGGGTCAAAGAAAAGATTTAAAAAGCAAATACAATCGAATGCTACATGTGAATATGAATGTTTTCAATTTACTCCATTATGTAGACTTGGCCCTATAAAATATGAACCTTTGAATTATAAGATTGCAGCACCAAGATGTTGGAAAGTACCATTACTAAAAATAGTTCTATTTTTTCATTTCATATTTCAAGACTAACTTTTGCTCTATTAATGCATATTTTCAAAAAAATTTACTCGTGTAATAATTGTGATTCAAATAGGACCTGTTAAGATCTCGGTTACACCAATCAATGGAAGAGAATCAAAGATTAAAATCAGAAATATCATCACATGGTTCATTGATGGCTTCTAACAACGCTATGGAGAGTAAACAGATTGGTGAGTAGAAATATTCAGCCAGAAATATATGTCTATTACTAATAGGTGATTTTCCGTTCACTACGATATCTTACGTCTTGTCATGTAAAAATCAAATGATTTGATTTTGAGCTTGAATTTTTTGTTATTATAGCAGTTGATTTTTCAAAGTCATTTTTATTGAGATACCCTTAGGGACGACGTCAAAAGATCGATGTCGGATAAAAAACTTATTTCCTTTAGTTTGGGGGTGGGGGGTTTTGACCTCAAAAAGTTTCCATCCTACAAAAACGATTTTATTTTTTAATAAAGTCAAAAAAATCTTGGAGTATTTGTAGTTCGTTTTTTTTCTATC